ACCTTCGAAAGAGCAAGCCGTCGATAGCGAGTGACTGCTGTTGGCATTTGGTACCACTTAGGACTACTTGCCTTCGCTTCTCATAGAGGGTGAATGTGGAAGAAGTTTTGACTCTGAAACACGCCAGCTTCCACTAAGCTGCCTTCCGAATAAGTTTTTAAGTGGAAAAGCTGACATTAGTAGATGTATATATAATTCAGATACCAACAGAATCGCCCAAGAATGTATTGAAGAGTGCCATTGACGAGCGCTACAGAAATGATCAGGTATTTTTTCACCATACTTCACCAACAAGCACCAAACTTCAACAACGGTCAGTAAGCTAGTGATTTTCGAACTCGCACTTGTCTCCTTGCTTCCGTCGTTCTTTCAAAAAAACACAACAAATATATCCCATGCATTTCCTTAAATGGTTCTTCTGCTCACATTTACTTTATTTTTATTATCTTTAGATGACGCGTACTAAAATTTAACTACTTGGAATTTTACGGTACTAAATGCCGATTGTTTGCATAGAAGAGAACCCCATTAAGAGGCTATCGCCCTTTTTTCATATACTTATCCTAGATCACAAGGAATCTCAGCTAGGCATCCGGAAAGCTACTTTTCTAGGTGAGCAAAAAATCAAAAGCACATCTGCCTTCGTTCTCTACGAAAAGTGGAAGCAGTCAATAGAACCCAAACAGCAACAACCTGCTGGTTGGTCTATTGATGGCTCCTTCTTTCAAGAGTTACTTGGAAGGCAATAGCGGGTTTGATTCCTTGGCATATGTTACTCAACTGCCTCCATCCTTCACAAATTGAAAATACAAAAAAAGTGTTAACTTTTGATTTTATTAATTGGTGAAGACAATTAAAAAAGTTCAGTTCGAAGAAACTGATGTAAAAATTTCTTTAAGTTCACTGAAGTACTGGGACTAGTTCGTGACGCGGTAAAGACCCTTCAACAACTGCCATGTACATTCAAGTCCAGTGTCAGTGAATTCGTGGATCGAACGAACTTGATCGATGAAGGACGCATGCTACTGAAGATGTGCATTGATGTTCAGCAAAGAATCGGGGTATGCTTTTTGTTTGTTGCTGGAACAGTGTAAAAATTAATCCTTTGGTGCTAGGGTTGTTCTCGATACTGCAGCTAGGGAGTCAGAAATTTTTTTTTGATGTGAACTTCCCGAGGAAAAATCTACAGGAATCTCAGCAAAACAGGTTGCTATTCGCAAGATATTATCATTCGCACCACTTCCAAACTCTAGCCCTTGAAGAGAGAAATATGGTGAGGAAGAGGACCAAATTTTGCAAAAAACCGACCTAAGAAATTAATATATTCATAAATTCAGGGCACGGTAACTACCGATTCAACACCGTCCAGTGTCAGCAGTCGTGGATGCAGATCTCCAGAAGATAGTTTCAATCTGTTCTAGTAATAATAATACCAAGATTGTCTGGATAAAAACAAAAATAAACGACAAAGAAAATGATAAAAAAAAAAAAACGCAAAAGGCAGGAAAAACAAAGAAAATTAAATTTCATAGAAAATAATAAAGAATAACTTTTTCTTTGCGGGTGTGAATGCCGAACATTCCGACTGGTGGTTCTGTTTCCGACTTTAAAACCTGTGTTTGTCAAAAACTTTTAATACAGTAGAATATTTATATAATGTTATGGGACACGTACAATAAGCCAACAAAAGTCCTCGAAATTCGAGTGTTACTAAAAGAAGGATCAAAATTTCGGGGGATCCACATTTCGACAGAAAGATAAACAGCTATGGCCATCTATCCACCGTAATAGTAACTTCCTGCATGTTGAAGATTTTTCAAGACCTTTAAAAGAATCCTTAAAAGCATCCATAGCATACCAGGGGTACCAATTTCAGCTTAGTACCGGTATTTTTTTTATGAGGGATTCCACTTTTTTCTGATTCTTACTGAACATACAAAGGCGAAAACATGTAAAATTTACAAGTAAACATGTGAATAGAGTGATACGTTAAAAAGTTAAGAAAGGCGTCTTCACGCAGATCAACGAGCTAATGAAAATTTGCCGGGCAAGGTAAATTTTACCCACTGCGACCTACTTCACCGGGTGATGGGTAAACTATGTCAGCAGAAGCGACTCCAGAAGAATAAACAGTTCAACATTCATGTGTGGCATAGAAAAATGTCCCACACCAATGCTTATAAAAAAAGAGCGTGGTATCGGAAATGATCTCAACATTTACCGCAAATTGGTCACATATTTTAGTTCTGTACAAAGAGATACTGAAAGTGAACGATCGGTTAAAAGTTAATTAAAATAAGCAATTGAATCACATGAAAAAGACCAGTGTAAAGTAGGATTTTTGCTAGTGTTAGTTCTGTCTCAGAGCTGCAAGCCGCTGAGTTAGTTCATCGTTTTCGGTGGCTGACGTTGAAACTTTGCCGCCAATAGCTGTAGTAGTTGCACCAGCTGGCAATTCCATGTTCAATTCCAAGCTGAAATTACGTCAGAATATGAGTAAACGAAGTAATTTCCTTCCTCAAAAAGACACAGAGTGATAACTGTGCAGTGCCAGAAATTAAAGAAAGACTTTGGCATTTTTACAACGAGAAACTACAGAAAGCAGTGCAAATGCAAATCGAAAATTTTATTCATAAAAATGGCAAAAAACTATTTTTAATATTTTCTACCGCTGAAAATGTAAAAAAGTCTAAAAAAGCTAAAAGACTGAATGCAGTAGAAAAATTCCACATATTTTGAAACAATTTTTGAGTACAGAAAATGAAAGTCACACACACACGCACACATACGCATGCACACACACACACACACACACACACACATAAGCACACACACATAAAAATGCATAAAAACGTACCCAGCTTTGTCAGCTGCTTCCTGAATCAAGGCATTCACTTGCGCCTGTGGTGCATTCAATGTTGTTGTTGCTGTCATTGAGCCTTCCATTGTTGCCGACTGTACATCCAGATTTTCGAAGTCCTTCTCAAAGCGATCCATTAAATTTTGCACTTTTTCCAAATTCATGGAGCGCAGTGCCGATTCCATGGCCTGTACAACACCTGTCATGCTCTGCGTAACGCGCTTTTGCGTTGCTGCTGTCTGGAAATGTTGAAATTATTGCATAAAGTTATGTAGGGAGCCTTTGCCTACTAAAGTATGTGCAGACTTCTGTTGTACCACAGTAAAAATGACAAGGTTTCTCATCAAATACAAAAGATACTTGGATCAGCTACAATTTACAGTGTGGTTCTCCAAATAAAAAAAGTGGAAATTTTCCAGTTTCTATGACCAGTGCTGCGCCGCCTCGTGGCTGATTCGCTGCTTTACAATCTTTGTTTCGTCTCCTAAAGGGATTACGAAGCCTGTGGCCCTCGCAACATTCGGAGATGTTTTGAGTTATCCTTGGTGTGTGTGTGTGTCTTAATGCTCACATTTTGCCCCGAAAACCGAAAGATACTCCTGATCCGTGATGGAATAATTCACCGATTTTGTTTTGCTTTACTAATATAACAAAAAATATTTTAGAAAAAATACCAGTCCATAAGAAAGTTTTGCAATTATTAAGCAGAAAAATAATGAAAAACATTTTTACAGAGAACTTAGTTGTGTACATGCACGCCTGGCATCTAATCCCAGTCACGAATCTCGAAGGATAACTCCCCGGACGACTCTGAACTGCAACTAAATATAACGCCGGAGGCAATAACTGGCTTAGAATCTTTTACCACACTTATCAAACACAATATTACTAACCACTTTAAACGCCGCATTAGTATATTACATGCAGAATCTCTGTAAATTTTAAGAATCGGCACTGTGTGTTATGATATTTCGCTGTCACTAGCAATAATCAGAAATTTCGATTTTGCAACAAAATCAAAGATTTATTACAAAGCTTAGCCTTCTTTCTTCACCCCACTCTTACCTCTAATCCCACAATCATATCGTTTCCCCTTCTGCTTCTTCCTGTCATCTTCCTCTTCCCTTTCCTTTTCCATTGAGCACTGTGATTGTCATATCGGCGAAGTCTTGTCGCGTGGTGTTGAATTAAGACGTATATGACTAATTAATGGACCGAAACGTCTTATCTCACTGCTACCTTCTTCTCTCATACTGTTCTTTCATGCTGTAATCTATTGCATTTTCGCCATCTTGGCTTCCAAGGTTACTACAATCGGCTCGGGGCAACGGCATCTCCCATACAAGTGCAGTCGTAGCTAAACCAGATCTCGTGGTTGAGCAGCAAAAACTTTCCAAAAAATTACCTGTACTCGTGCTGCAACTGCATCAATTCGTGCCGACATGCGTATGTAATTGAGGCCTTCATTTTTCTTACGTATTGCATTTTCGGCATGTACCTGTGCCACTTCCATATTGCCTTTCTGTAACATAGAACTCTTTTTTTTAAAAAAAAAAGAAAAGAAAAACGAGTGAAACGCAGCAATTAGCAATTATAAATTAAAATATTATAAATCAAAAAAAAAATTGTAAATTTCAGAAATAAAAGAAAAAAATGTGTGGAGACACAAAAATCTCTGAGGTTCAACTATTACAAACCTTTATTGCATTGGTTAATTTTGTCTTCTCCGCTTTCTCCTCCTTCTCGCATTTCTTGGCGTTTCGTTGCAACTCCTTTGCGGCAAATTTCAAGTTGAACAAATGCTCTAAAAGTTCTGAGAGCAAAAATTAAGCCCTGTTCTTTTTCCACTGTGCAGCATTATTCCCCCTAAAAGTGCTGAAAAAACTGGTCGAAAATAAACTGCTACCGCCATCAGTCTTCTCCTACAATTCCACTTTTGTGGATGGAAAATAAAGTTTTACCGGGGGACGAAGGGGGAGGGGGAGGGAGGGGGATGAAGTGAGGGGCTGTACTAATAAATCCCAACGATTGCCACACATACAGAGATTGCAGCCAATCCATTTATTTGAACTCTCTTCCTCCTCAAGCGGCGCAGGTACCAATGCTGCAAAAGTTCGGGCCTAAAGCTGAAACTGAAGAAAACTCTCTTCCGCACTCCTCGTCGCCATCCCCTCCCCCTCTCGCCTCTTCAAGAGCCCGTCCTGGATCCGTTTATGGCTACAGCTATTCAACAGGGCTGAGTTGATGAAATTTGATTTATTTAAGGAAGACAAGAAAGCTCCGTGGCTGGAAAAGGGTCACCAATACTTACTGTCTAATGACATCCTTGCTGCTCCTCGTTACTTCCGCGTCCACAAACCCGCGTTACACGTGTGTCCCTGTGCTTCTCGTGGATTCTGTGATACAAGTCGAGAAGTGGCTTGTGATACTGGCCGGTATGCGAATAGATCTCGATGTGGCACTGCTCGGCTGCAAGCTGCAAAACAGAGACATATTAGTGGAATATCTCGAGAATGAGACAGACGCCAGTGCAAAGGATCTTGTCCCCGTGGAAAAGGAAGCGCGAAAAACTACCGCACAGAACCAGAATGACATGGAAATCCTTGAAAAAAATACTAAATTTTGCAAGAAAATGTAAAATTTAGTGAGAAAAGCGGTAGCATTACACTGAAAAATGACGAATGAGGTACAGATATGAGGAAACAGCGCTTCAGGGGCAGAATTATTCAATTCTTCAAAACAGCGACCCCCCTCCTCCCTCTCGTCTCACCGTTATGCAGTGATACGCACGCTATGCAAGATGATAATATTTATAATAGTAAAGAAAAAACCGCGGAAATTCCGCGAGTTTCATCCAGTAACGTGATTTGCTCAGGAATTCTCTTAACTTTTCTTCTATTTCCCTCTCCTCTTCCCTCCCTCGATCTTCGCTTCCCCCTCCCCCACTGTTCGTCGCACGATCCTTCTAGAGTCGAAACGCTAACGCACCCCAGTAAATCTCACAGCCCTGGACGAAATCACGCAACACGCCTCACGTGAACCACGCGACCAACCGTACACACTCAAACAAACAAAAACATGGCAAATGACCAAAACGCTACGCGCTACTCGATGAATCATTGAGGAAAGCAAGAGGCGAGAGATGGAAAGTCGCCGAAAGAAAAGACTCTTCCGAAAAACTCTATGTCCCTGCGACCAGCAAAAGACGTGCCATTATTTTTTACATGAAAAGTAATAGTGAAGAAAAATTAATCAGCTGAACAGGAATGTTTCGGTCCATCATCCAAAAACACTGTAAATGAAAAGTCGTCGCCGACCGAGAGAGTATGGGTTAGACGACGAAAATGATAGCGAAATAGCACGGGGCTCCACTGGCGAGAGAATGAGAGCGGTGCAAGTAAGTGTTCGCAGACGACGAGATTTCGTGGCGCGACTCACGTTGGCTGCACCTGGACACGTGGAGGACGTTTGTTTCGTGCGTGGTGACGTGGCGCCTCAGGAGATAGCCGGGGTTTTCCATCGTGTGCGGGTAATTTTCGCGCTCCTATGCTATTGCATCAATTACCAGTGATATAAGTGGTTTTGCGTGGACACTATTCCTCGTTGAATGCAATTTTTAGCCTTTTCAAGCCTCCTTCCTTGTGGAGCTGTGGGCCCCGGGTTCCCGCATTTTTTTCCCTATGCGGGTAATTTTGGCGCATTCCTAGTATTTTCTTTTTATTGCTCTACTCTAATACACGAAGCTTGATAAGTAGCTGTTCTTTTTTTTTTAAAAAAAAGTGTAGTTTAATATTTTAGACTTATAGACCCTAGCTATGCACCTAATTTTCCCGCACTTTTTTTCTTCCTTTTTGGGTTATTTTGGTGCATTTTTAGTGGTGGTGATTAATTCAAAAGTAATATCCTCAAAATTAGCACTAATATCCAAAAGTAATACCCTCGGAATTTGCATGAATTTGATTGCATTTACACGCGTTTTCTGGGCTTAAGTAAAGCTGAGAGCGAATAAGTTCCATTGTAGAATATGAACTGAGCAAAAAGAACAGTGGTAGGCTGGATGTATGGGGATGAAGTCAGCCTTTGCTACTGTGAGATTTTGGAAGCAAAAAAAAAAAAAATAGAACTATAAATGCTGTGTGCCCAAATCGAATGCATCAATTCGTTGGAATTGTATGGAATTTTTGTGCAAATCCAATCGCTTATTATTTTCACGTTTCATGCAGCGGGCATGATATGATCGATGTGGTGATGGTGGTGGAACAATGTTATTGAAGTGCAAGCAGGCTGTGTTGTTGCCACTACGAACAATATGCATTTATAATCGCTGCTGCTGCTGCTGCGAAGGATTATTTGGCGCCGTTTGCTGTTGCCACAACACCACCACTGTATCGTTGACGCCAAAACGAAATCATCGATCTCCGATCGCACAATTAACTGCTTCTCATAGTTAGTCCTTTTTATTAATTCTGATTTTACACTTATTTTAATTATATTGATTATTATATTTAATAATAATTATAATAATACTTATATGATACTTAATTGTACTTATGATAATAATGATACTTAATGATAATTATAATTATATATGTTTAAGTATTTAAGTACAGTTGCATGATATTATAATAGCACTTATATGACACTCAATTATACTTATAATGATGATAACAATGATACTTAGTGATAATTATATATTTTTAAGTATTTAAGTACAAAACCATAATTTGTAATTTTTCACGAATAAATCTTTCCTAAGTTTTTAATTTGCGAAAGAGCTTTGGAAGCTGCTGCCACGAAATCATCGACCTCTCTGTTTTATCACTATTAATACTTTTGCATTTCGAGGTAATCTCGTAATTGAATACTTATAATATCTCTATTCAGTATAATATCAAGCACGAATACCTATATATAATTTCCAGATTTCTAATTTTTTATGAACAAGACTCAAAGCACATATTGTATTCGCGTGAAAGATGAGTTATTATTTTTATTAGGTGTTATTATTAATCATTATTATTTGTTTGATTATTATGATTGTTTCGAATTAATTTCATACTTGAATACTTAAATTCACAATTAATTATCCAATTACATTTATATGATTATTTCTTTTTTTTACGAGAAAAATTCCAGGTGCTTCTGTCCGGGGAACTATTATCCATTAGTCCCCTTCAAGATACAAAACGTGCGACTGGGTGATCAGTAGGTTGACCCGTGAACGGTTTAGCATTGGGAGAGGCAAATTGGGTGTATTATCTCGTCAGATGAATGAACTGCTAGCTGACTGCATAATCCATAGATTACACTAATTTTTTCCCGCTCAATAACGATTATCATTTTCGTTTGTATCGTTTAAATTGTCTAGGACGAAAATTAATGGGCGTAGAGAGTGATTTGAAATCTCATTCCAGAATACCGGAAATCGAAGAAAACAGGAAAAAATTTCTAATCCAAAACACAGATCGGGACGTAGAAAAGGATTTGATCTCCGGAAATCGAACAAAAAATTAAAAAGTTCTAATCCAAAACTTAGATCAGAACATAAAAGGGGATTTAAATTCCAGAAGTCGAAAAAAAAAGGAAAAATTTCAAAAACGTGAGAAAAAAAGATACAGGTCAAATCGGATTTTTTGAGGTCAACGCTGACCCGGCATAGAGTGACCATTTTGCCGGGTGGTCCCATCATCCATCTGTGCGCAATCATCGATCGTAAACAATACCTGCTGTTCGGTAGAAGTTGAATTTACAGTTGACAACGACGACGACGAGGGATGTTAGGGGATACTGCGCCGATTTCCACAATCCTGTGCTCTCTGACCCCTGATCCCTTCTTCCTCTTCCCCTTCTTTTTCGCTTGAGATGCGGTCAGTGCTCTAGCTGACCCTTCCTTTCCTGTTGCAACAAAACAGTCCATTAATTCCGGTCAGTCAGTGGGTTTCTTTTTACAGTGGCCTTCTTTGGCATTTCGATTATCTTGTAGAAAAATCACAGCTCACCATCCACCCAAATCGGCACCCGTTCCGGATTCCAGGCCTGGCTCTGTACTGCCTTTCTTGACCTTCGCTGTCTTTTCGTAGTGTGAGGGAGTTCCATGTGTTCTCTCTGTTACCTCATTCTCACAGTTTTTCCGATGGCGATGAAGACTTCCGAGCCTCCTCCATGTATGTCACTCATTTTGTCTGTTTCCCAAAATCATTACCTGCTTTAATGAGCTCCAGGTGTTGCTCTAACTACCTGTTTTTACACTGTGTTACAGGCCTGTCCTACTTCTCTGCAATAAGCTAGGGACCTCCTCGACCTTTCTGCAATGCGCTACGGGCCTCTTCGACCTCATTCTGTTTGTCCTCAGTGGTGATTTCCCGCTCTCCTCCGACCCCTCCCCCAATAATTTCCGGCTTCAACATCAAGAAGACTTTTTTTTTGGTTTTTTTTAAACGAAAATTTTATGTATTCGAGAACACGTAAGTCAGTTATTTAAATGTGAAGGATGGTATTTTAAAAAAGAAAAAAAAGGAAAAGGCAAGAAAAATTGGAGACAGGAAAAGGGTGGGGGCTTATTGGGCCAAAACGTCTTATCTCGGGATTAAGCACTTTTGAGATAAGATGTTTCGCCCCATTAAGTCATGCACATTTTCGTACAGCAACGCAGCTGAACTTCATCAGCACAGCGGTTTTGATTCATTTTTAGATAAAAAGGAGGGACTAGGAAGAATAGGGGAAGTAGGATGCGGGAAATTTGTATGCATGGGCGTTATAAAGCATTCGAACTTACAACGCCCCTCTTTTTAGTGATTATCATTATTGAATTAATTTTGCATAGTTAAATTGGTTAAAAATTAAATAACTTAAAAAATTAAAAAAATATTAATTAAAATTAAGTGTTGATAACCATTAAAATAAATGGTTTAAAGAAATTTCATGGATAATAATTGCCTGATTTCGATTTTTTTTTCATGTCTAAAGATATGTGATAAGCGTGCGGAGTAAAAGTAAATAAGCAACTATAAATCGTGGTATATTAAATTACCGCTTGGCCTGCTTGCTGCCTTTCGTATTTAAGACCTGTTCACAACGATTACTAGTTGAAGTTGCTCCTCAAGGATATCTTATAATAAGAAAAAGGGAGGAAAGCCGTCCTTTTTTATGGAATTTTTAGAGTCCTGTCAGCTGTCATGCTTCAGCCATCTGCTTTCGGTAGGTTCGGCTATGCAGATCCAAGGATTTGTGTTAGTTGAGAAAAAATTGAGGTAAGTTACCCTGTCAGTGAGAATTGAGTTTCTTTCACAATGCTGCTACTGCTGCTGCAGTAGAGCTGTTGTAAATGATCTGTGCCTCATTTATAAGTGAAAAAAATGTCAATTAGCGAGATACGAGGCAAAAAAAATACTGCTAAAGACTCAGTTTCACCTCCCACGTGCAGGCCCGTGAAATTTTTTTGCGAGTAAGTTGCTAACACGATGATTGAAAAACTAGAAAGCTAGAATTTTAAGGGGATATTCCTCGTCCAACTAGAAATTAGTGAGTTCAAACCCAGCTCCTAGGTGTGCGTGTTTTCAAAGCATAGAAGTGTTTCTGGCTTGAGCATCGAGTTGTCTTATTTTTATTTGGATTCGTTTGCAGGTTAAAAAGTTGGCGTGATGATTCGAAGCTGGGATCCGATTTCACAAGCATTTGTTGCGTCGATGTTTACGTGGGGGGTGACTGCCCTGGGTGCTGCTGTTGTCTTCCTCATCCCTCCGTACAGTAAAAAATTGCTTGGTTGGTTCAGTTACTCCTCTTTTATTATCAGTTCATTTTTTTTTTCAAATTTTTACCACGAATTCAACATTAAAATTGGACAGTCATGGGGCAAGAGCAGACGAACAGAACGTATTCTTGTAATAACAATGGAAAAATCGCCAATGCAGTGGAAGGATCCGTTTGAACAGCAACTTTTGTGGAGTGATATGGATGTGACGGAAGCAGAATCAAGCACTTTGGAAAAGTTACCAGCTGAAACACGAATGGCAGGAAGGAAAGCAACAGCGATATATTATATAGTATCGGGATATATAAGATGCATTAAGTTCTATTACTTATGCAGTTGGTTCGAAGACATTTCTTTTTCCCTGTTCCATTCCCCCACCAGCTCCGCCACTGTCCTCTGGAAGGATCCGTGTGAAAAATCGAGTTGGCAAGTGTGTGTGTGTGTTTGTGTGAGGTGTAGTTAAACGGCACAGATTTCAGTCGGAGAGGCGCAAAAGCTAGTCGGAGGAGCAGTCAACAGCATTCGTTCCACTCCTTTACCAAGTAATTAAATTTTACGCCATTTTTCATTGTTTTTTTCATCGAATTTCCATGGTTTTTTGCGTTATTTTTCTTTCGATTTTTTTAATTTAACAGCTTGTTTACCGCATAGCGCAGTGGTAAACAACGCTGCTCCCGTGCTGAAGGTCGAGAGTTCAACTTCGCCATTGAGGTAGTCGATCCCGCACATTCGTTTTGGCCCTAAAATTTTGTTGGTACATGTCAGGGAACCACCATTGGCGTGTTTTTAATTAAATTCTAAAAGAGGTATTCATCGGCAAATTTACCAGGGGATGGTTACTTCTAGCATGTAGCACTGTTTAAATTACTTCCCCAAATTTCTCAATCTCGCAGATAGTGCATTTTCTACTTCAGTTACGAAATTTAGATGGTTTTCAATTTTTATTCCATTTATTAGCTAAGATCGATTTTTTGAGCCAATTTTTTTTTAGCTTAAATTAGCACAAATACCATAGATGCTTCTGTGCGAGCATGTGCGGCGTGCCAGATTTTCCTTAGAAAATTGTCGAAAACCCCTAAATCAGAGGGCATAGCTGCTTTCGGCATATGGGAGCATCCTAGTAACATCACTGACCATACACTCTTGATATCCTTGGTTAGCTGTTGAAAACAGTGTCAAAATCACGTACAACTGAATGAGATATTGAGAAGAGATGATGCATTCTGGCTAAATCCAGAATTTCTCTTGAAGTAGGGAAAAGCTTCACTATTGTATCTCTCTTAAACTATGATCTTTTCTTTAAAATTTTGCCATTTTTTTGCTTAGTGGACGGGAACCGGGGAAGTTGGTCAAGGGCATGACTGTTTTTTGGATGTATTCTCGTCATATATAGATGCGAATTGTGGTCAGTGACGAAAACAGTCAAACAAACGCTGGCTGTAACGGAGAGAGCAATGGAGAGAAGATGGCTCGAAGTGTCTCTTCGTGGCCACTATAAACAATCAGACTCTCCGTCAGTTCAGTAGCGTGCAGGATATCGTTGAGACCACGCAAGAAAGCAAAATCTGATGGGCAAAAAAATGTTGCTTGGTTTGCTGACAACCAATGTGCATCCATCGGATATCAGCTAATGTTAACCACAAGGAAATAATGATGCGGGCAGTTACGAAGAAGTAGCACACATACATTGTGCAGGAGCTGGGTTCTAATTGAAGATATGCAGTTCAGGATCGAACAATCTGGCATAGCTGCTCCTGGCGTAGAGGAACATCCCAGTGGCAGCAAAACTGGAATTCTCACACCATTTTTCCCGTTGATTTTCGCGTTCGTGATGCTTCGTCGTTCTTTCGACTTATCGTTCAAGGAATTGCATCGATCGCAAAGCAAAAAAAATGAGACTAAGTTTGCTGTGTTGAGTCAAATTGAATCAATAATTTTTCAACGTGCCATGAGTTTCAGATGTTAGCTTGGGTTTTGCTGCGGGCGTTATGACAGCCGCTTCGTTCTGGAGTCTGCTGGCACCGGCAATCCAGTTAGCAGAAAGTACTGCGGGAGCGTTTGCCTTTCTGCCGGTTGGGATTGGATTCGCTATTGGCGCTGCTTTTGTTTATACAGCTGATCGAATTATGCCAAGGTAACAATGATTTGATTAGTTTTTTTGGCGGGTCCTTCCATTTCTTTTTTTTTGAATTCTGACTAAAAAAGTTTGGTAGGTGTTAAAAGTAATGAAGCAGTAAAAGTTATTGACGAAAGAATTAACTGTGAGATGTGGTGGAAAGTGGTGGGGAGGGAATAATATGTACATATATATGAATGTAATTCTAGAAAGTGAATTTCCCAGTTGTTTTGACCAATTTGACTGACAGTATGCCGACTGTAGCAACCAGGTTGACCCTGGAAACCTAACTGGCGAAGGCGCAATAGAATACAGCATGAGAAAAGAGAAGGTAAGAGTGAGATAAGACATTTCGGTCCATTAAATCGTATACGTCCTAACACCTCGATAGGGCCTCGTCAGTACCGCAATGCTTAAAAGAAAAGAGAAAGACGGCAGAAAGAAGCAGAAAGGAAAACAAAATTACAGTGGGGTTAGACGGAGTAAGGGTGGGGTGAAGAGGGAAGGAGAAAGGAAAAAGGAAAAGATTTTAAAAAAAATTTTTTTAAAAAAACTTTCCTTTAAATTCCGTGGTTTGTAGCTGTGTTCTGTCGGAGATGTCGGTGGTGGATATGCTGACCGAGAATACCTCAGTGGTAGGGCCGGAATCGATGATGCAATTACGCGAAATAATTGGCGACGAGCAGAAAGCAATGATCCGAATTGAGAATGGAAACGATATTGCACGGTATGGATCTGATGCTGCCAGTGCTGTAGCAGCCGCTGCACAAGCAACTACTACTACTACTACTACTGATCGAGTCGTACGTCGGCGACCGACCAAAAATAGGTGTGACCGAGTGATTACTTCCGCAGGAAGTTGGCCGGTGCTTGTGCTGCTTTTCATTCGTTTTCTTTATTTTGCAACACGCATTCACACAGAAATCTTGTTTGAAATCGCATATGTGGCGAGAGAGAGGGAAAGAGTCAGATGAATAGGGAGTTACGTGAATGTCGAGCAGCATGGAGTTGTTGTGTCAGTTGTATCAATGGCGAGAAGAAACACTGCAATGAAAAAATTGCATTCTTTAAAAGAAGCTTTTTTTATTTTCTTGTGAATTAACAAATCCAGGAATATTTTTTGGGAAGATTTTTTTTTGTTAAATTAAGTTGCTTTACTGCTGTGGAAATTTTTGTTCGGGAGTGGGAATCTTATCCGTGTGCATTTTTTAAAATTGTTTCTGAGGAAAATTATTTCCTGTGCGCACTCTTTTTTGTTTGCCTCATGCTGTACTTAAAATGATCTTTTGCAGTAACCGTTACTGGACCTGGGAGACAGGGGGAGAGAGCCTACATTTGTTTGTGGAAATGTTAAACCATTAAAATTTAGGACTTCCACTTATTTAGTTTCTGTGAGAGGCGGAGGAACTCGAAACTAGCCCAAGTGGTAATATATGCTAAGAAGCAATCATTCGGTAGGGATTTTGGTGGTTTTTCCCCGAAGGTTAGGCAGTTTTGATTCTCTAACGTGCATCAGTACCAATTTACCATTGAAACGAATGAACAAGTAGTAGAATGTGCTACTGACGGTCTAAACTATCCACTTATTTTCACGAAAACGCCACTATTTGCCGCTATACCATCTCCCCCAAAACATAAAATATGCATGTCCTGAAATTCCCCGTGTCTTTTACTTCTGTACTGTCACTCTATCCTGTTGACCTGTGACCTTAAGCCATTAGCGTTGGTTGACCTTGCTTCGAAAAAACTTGAAATTTGCTTTTATTTTTTCGTTCAAGCAATTCTACTACCGCTTATCATTGCATATTTGGTTAGCTTCTTTTTTTTTCTGCATAATCTTGGCAGATCGCGTTGGCCTGGTCTCAGTACTAATGCTCGGAAGCAGCTGTGCACATGGTTGGTTTAGCGATGGGACAGCCGTGGATAGTTGATCCGGATGCCTCATTTCAGGCCCCGGGAAAGTGTAAACGGTAATGGGGCAACATCACCACCAGCAGCAGGAGCAGCAGCAGCAGTAGTTGATGGTGTCGCAGCATCGGAAACAGCAACAACAACAGTAACAATGACAGAACCGAATACCCGAGCAACGGACAAGGAACGAGCCCTTGTAGCAGCAATATCCTGGCGACGTATCGTCCTTCTGATTGTTGCCGTCACTGTGCATAACATTCCCGAAGGTTTAGCTGTTGGTGTTGCTTTTGGTAAGTTTCATAACCTTCTTGCATGTAAAATTTGGAAAATCAAAAAATGCCACCCGCATTCGCTCTCAGTGAGAGGGTGGAGGCATTTCTGAAGTAGCCCAAGTGATAGCAAATGCCAACAGCACCTATTCGCTGGCAAAAATAGCGATTGCACTATCTTGCAAAGGTTGTTTAGAGGCGAACCAATTGCTGGTATTTTAAATTTAGATGAAAAAGGTTGTAAAAAGATGAAAGTGAAAACAATAATTAAAAAAAAATCTGGATTGGAATATTTTGGTTCATTAAGTCGCTAGCATTCCCATTTAGTGCTGCAACTGAACCTCGTCAGTATGACGGTTGCATCAGAAATATTAGTAACATGCAATGTGGTGAAATGAAATAGAAAATAAAGTAAAATTTTGAAAGTTAAAAATTTCTTAAAAAACACCACCTCCATCATTACAGCCATTGGTATGATAAAAGAGTACCTGTAAATAAGAGAATCCTGCCATATGCCACTATAAATTTACTCGCATATGCCTTTCTTTCTGTATTCTATCGCGCCTTCGCCACTTAGGCTTCCAGGATCAGTCTAGTTGCTACGATCGGCTTATCATCGAAACGAATGAAACGAATCACAGGAGGGATTTTGGTTGTCCCACCAGCAAAGTAGAATCCTCGGCCGATTACACAGCAATAGTGCTACTTCCCAATGCGACGTGCTTACCGGGATGTTTTGATCGCGTGTTGATTCATTTTCAAAGTGAAAATTTAGCCTTCTTCCCTTCATCGTATTCACTCTCTGTGTGAGGCAAAGGTACTCGAAAGTAGCCCAGATGTGTTAGCAAGTGCCAATAAAAGCTATTCACTGGCAGAGCTATGATTGCCTTTCTTTCGAAGGTTGCTTAGAAGCAAGCTGATGACAGTTCTCTTCGTCCTCATTATAGATCCGTTTATAAGCATACCTTCCCTTAAATATCGGGGCTACATAACAGGATAACAACTCGGAAATCACAGGCTTTGGTTGTGTAGCTTACGAGTCTGATATTAAGGCAAATAGCGCTGCTCTCAAGTTTAAACTCTATAGTTCCAGCCATGCCAGGAGATAATTGGTCTCTCTACGATTCGTTCGTTCGTTTCGGTGGTAAATTGGTACTAACACATACCGAGGAGTTAAACCTATCATCATTTTTGCTTATAAATAACCTTGGGAAGAGGGAACCGTTGAAAGTCCTGCTAAAATGTGGTTATTATTGGTATCTTACTGCCAGTCAGGTTGCTTTCGAGTGCTCTCCGTTCCATAGAGGATGATATGAAGGTGATTTTTGATCTTTGATTTTGACATTTTATTTCATATTTATATGCAGTATCGAGTTTTCTTTGAACTAAAAGGTCTGCTTAGTCTGCGATTGTTAGTGTTGCTTCGATTGGTTGATGAGGGTTTATTTTAAGGTTCAATTGGGAAAGCAGCAAAAGCAACATTTGAGACAGCATTTACACTGGCACTTGGCATTGGATTGCAGAATTTTCCGGAAGGATTGGCTGTTTCACTTCCGCTTGCTGGCTTTGGCCACACCAAATTGAAAGCTTTCTTCTACGGGCAGTTATCGGGTAAGATACTGAAATCTGTTTGCTTAGATTTTTGTCTAGAAAATTAGCTCTGTTAGTTACTTCTGTTATTTAATAGTGTCTATTTTTGCAGTAATTCACTATCTGCTTGCCTAGTACTCCTAGAAG